ATACAGTCAATTCACTTTACAGTATATTCTGTGAAGCGTTTTGAGACATCTGGAAGATGTGAAAAGCGCTATATGAAATGCAAGGATTATTATTATTATTATCCCATTCAAAATCCTCTCGGAGACCTCTCTTGTCAAGGTTGAATAATCCCAGATTATCTAAGCCTTGCTCAAACTCATTCCTCTAATACTGGAAATTATCCTTATTGTTCTACACTTCCTCCAGGGCTGTGGGAACCCCAACCCCACCGTTCCCCACCCCCCCCACCTTATATTGCACATCGCAGTGACCAGAGTTGTCTTCAGTACTCTAGGTGCAGCCTGACCAATGCATTGTACAGATTGAGTATGATGTCTGGGGATCTAAACCTCAACTGATTTGGCAATATTGCCCAACATCCCATTTGCCTTGTTTATTGCTGCCTCACATTGTTTTGACAGAGTGAACAATTAGTCAATAAACACCCCTAGGTCTCTTTTAGCTTTCTCCTTGGAAAATTAATCCCATGCACGTATTTCCTATTTGTACTTCCTAAATCTAGTATCTTTCATTTACTCATACTAAACTTTATTTGCCAGTTATCAGCCCATGCACATACCCTATAAAGCTCTCTTTGTAAGACCTTTGTTGTCTTCTCTGTTTCCACAGGTTCCCCCAACTTGGTGTCATCTGCAAATGTAACTACCCTGCACTGAGTCTGTGAATCCAGGTCATTAATATTATATATTCAAGGAACAGGGGGGGTCCCAGTACAGACCCCTGAGATTCACCTCTTCATAACTCCATCATGTTGACCTAGCTCCCTAATGACTATCCTCTGCCTCATTCCCTTCAAACAATTTCAAATTCACATCCTTGTCTTGCTCTTGAAACAGAGTGACATCAATTTGTGAAGAAGTCTCTCATGTGGTGTTCATGTGCCTTTTGGAAGTCTTTTTATGCTCGTCATATAATATTATGCCACGATCAAACTGGAATGTTACCTCCTCAAAAAAGTCTTTGAGGTTGGTCAGACAGATCTACTCCTTCTGAATCGGTGCTACGTGCCATTTATTAGACTATTTTTATATGAGTAAAGTTCAATTTTCTTTCCAATTATTGACTCCATCATTTTGAGGTCAGGCAAAGTAATCTGTAGATGCCAGGTATGATGGCCCTTTCTTGAATATATGAAAGGGCACATAATCATACCTGGCATCTATAGGTATGCTTGCTATCAGTCACCTGCAACCTCACCAATGGTGATTGACCCTCTGGTAACGTTCATCAGTGCTACACAAATTTGTATTGTCTCTATGAAGTAGCCTGGAGCTGTGTTGGTTTCCAGCCCCTTGAGCCTATCTAGAACCTCACAAAACAGTTTTACTTATGCTAAGAAGCATGGTTCAGGAAGTACCCATTTGGGTTTCTTGCTACAGTCTTTACATTTGAACTACACCCTCCAAAGAACCTGAATTTTGCATTTGTAAATACTTTGTCTAAATTATTCAAAAGTATTCATTTCTTTAAAATTGCTACCTCTCTTATTAGTTCTTATTTATAGGCAAAATCAATTCATGAACAAATCATGTAATAGCTGCACACTTCTTTTGAAAAAAANTTATATGAATTGAAATCTTTAATAAAACCATTTCTCACATTATAACCATAATCCTTGCATTTGATACACAGTGCACTCCACTTAATTGCATATTGAATAATTGCATACTCCATTTAATAACAAACCAATTTTCAGGTACCAGAATTCGTTGTTGGTTTGTGTAGTATTGCACTCCTCTCAAATGCATATCAGATAATTGCATAATTCACTTAATTTCATGAATGATAGTTAGCTGATTTCATTCAGACCTGTATTAGTTTCGATAGTTGCGCTTGTGACCACAAACAATTTGACTTCAAGTTATGGCAACTTCTAAGAAGAGTTTTATTTTATGCTTATTTTATGCTTATTTTAGGTCACTAGTTGTCTTGAAGCAATAAATATATACTGTTGATATACTGTGTAATGTTTTATTTAATCCTGAAGTAATAAATATATACTGTTAATTTGTTATAAATATAGTTATGAACTAATGTCAGTAGAAATTTGGGTAATTGCATACTCCGTATAATTGCTGTCATCTGTCTGATCCTTGCAATTATACGCAGTACACTGTCGCTCCTTATTGCATTGTCAAGATGACTCAAAGCACATGATTTACTATAATAATAATCCTTCCATTTGGTATAGTGCCTTTCATGTCGGATGTCCCAAAGCACTTCACAGGATATACTGTGAATTTGGGTGTGTTTGTGGGCGAAACAGCAGCCAATTTGCACACAGCAATGGCCCACAAACAGCCATGAAATTAATGAACAATTTTAATTGGAGGACTGTTGGCCAAGGCACCAAGATAAACTCCCTTCACTTTTTGAATGCAATCTTTAACATCCATTTTAACAGGTAGACAGGATCTCGGTTTAACATCTCATCTGAAGGACGGCACCTCCAACAGTGCAACAAATTTCCAGCACCGTCCACTTAAAACTATGTGAGTTCAATCCCTGACGTGGGGCTTGAATCTACAACTTTCTGAGTCAGAGAAGAGTGCTACTACTGAGCCAGACTAACAGTAAAATGTAGTGACTGTATTTTGTAGGTAAAGGTGGCAGCCAATTTGCACACAGCAATATCCCACGTGCAGCTATGAAGCGAATGACCCATTTTATCTGGGAGGATTGTTCGCCAGGATTAAAAGGGAATAATAATAATCCTTGCACTTGATATAGCGCCTGCACAGATCATTCAAAGTGCTTCACAGGATATACTGTGAAGTCACGTGACGGTGTGCGCAATGCAGGAGAACCTGGCAGCTGCAACAGCTGTGGGGTGGATGACCAATTTTATTTGGGGGAATTGTTGGCCAGGACAGGGAATTAGTGAGGAATAGACTGAAATGATCATACGGGTTGGTTAACTAGTAGGTTTGAAAAGATTGTGGCCCGAAGGCATCAAAACAAGGATGTCCGGGGTGGGGAAATAAACGCACACAACTTATCCACGACTTTCCTTGGTGAGGAGCCAGGTTACATAATAAGCAGCTACAGGTGCAGGACCAGTTGAGGCAGTGAGCTTCAGTGTTTATCACCGACTGAGCACAGAAAAGATTTGCGACGGGCAGACGTGCCTCTGCATCCCTTCACGTTGTTACTGGTCACCCCCGTTGCAGACTGTTCCCGAGCGCTCCGAGACGCTACCCCACGTGAAAGGTGCTATATAAATACAAGTTGTTGTTGGTGTTGTACTAACTTTAGGTGTGAGGCTGTCACCCCCCCCCCCTCACATTCAGTAGACAGACTCGTTCAGACACAATCCCTGGAGGCCACTCATTGACCCACTATCAGATCAATTTCGATTGGGAATATATGACGACAGAGAGAGAGAGTGGGGGGGGAACACAGGCACGAAAAGTGCAGAGATTGAATAGTCGGCTGTAAATGTGAAGGGAGTGAGCAAGACCAGTGTGTTTGTGCCGGAGCACAGGGGCAGCAGCAGAGAGTGTGAGGCAGAGGCTACAGGACAGTCCACCCCTCCCAGCTCCCTCAGCCAGAGTGCTGCCAGCACCTCCCAACACCCTCTCCCTCCCTCCACCAGCTCCTCAACACCCTCTCCCTCCCTCTCTCCTCCACCCTCTCCCTCCCTCACCAGCTCCTCAACACCCTCTCCCTCCACCAGCTCCTCAATACCCTCGCCCTCCCTCTCTCCTCCCCTCTCCCTCCCTCCACCAGCTCCTCAACACCCTCTCCCTCCCCCTCACCCTCTCCTCCCTCCTCCACCCTCTCCCTCCCTCCACCAGCTCCTCAATACCCTCTCCCTCCCTCTCTCCTCCACCCTCTCCCTCCCTCTCTCCCTCCACCAGCTCCTCAACACCCTCTCCCTCCACCAGCTCAATACCCTCTCCCTCCCTCTCCTCCACCCTCTCCCTCCCTCCACCAGCTCCTCAACACCCTCTCCCTCCCTCTCTCCTCCACCCTCTCCCTCCCTCTCTCCCTCCACCAGCTCCTCAACACCCTCTCCCTCCCTCTCTCCCTCCACCAGCTCCTCAACACCCTCTCCCTCCCTCCACCAGCTCCTCAACACCCTCTCCCTCCCTCTCTCCCTCCACCAGCTCCTCAACACCCTCTCCCTCCCTCCACCAGCTCCTCAACACCCTCTCTTGCTATTTCTCTCCCCCAGTACCCTCTTCTCCCTCTCCAGCCTCTTCTCCCAAACATCCTTTCACTTCGCAGCAGCTTCTCTGATCCCCTGTAGTTTCCCCCTAACACCATCTCCCCCTCCCCTCCCCTCCCCTCCCCCCAGCAGTTTCTCAAACACCCTTCCTCTCCATCTCCCCTTCTCCTCCAGTCTCCCTCTTCCTCCCTCCCTCCCTCTCCATCTCTCCCCTCCTCTCTGCATCTCCTCTCCCCCCTCCTTTCTCTTCCCCCCTCCCCCTCTTCCCTCCTCCCCCCCCTCTCTCTCTCTCTCCCCCCCTCCCCCCAGCAGTTTCTCAAACACCCTTCCTCTCCATCTCTTACCCCCCCCTCCTCCCCCACATACTTCATGACGTGAAGCCATTGAGAATAAAACCCTGGAGAGAGAGAGAGAGAGAGGAGAGATAGAGAGAGGAGAGAAGAGGAGAGAGAGAAGAGGAGAGATAGAGAGAGAGAGAGGAGAGATAGAGAGAGGAGAGATAGAGAGGAGAGGAGAGGAGAGGAGAGAGAGATAGAGAGAGAGAGTAGAGATAGAGAGAGGAGAGATAGAGAGAGAGAGGAGAGAGGAGAGGAGAGAGAGAGAGAGGAGAGATAGAGAGAGGAGAGAGAGAGAGGAGAGAAGAGGAGAGAGAGAGAGATAGAGAGAGAGAGAAGAGGAGAGAGAGAGAGAGAGAAGAGGAGAGATAGAGAGAGAGAGGAGAGAGAGAGAGAAGAGGAGAGATAGAGAGAGAGAGGAGAGATAGAGAGAAGAGGAGAGATAGAGAGAGAGAGAAGAGGAGAGAGAAAGAGAGAGAGAGAGAGAGAGAAACTTCAGAAGCCGCAGTGAGAGGATCGCCTGTTGAGATGATCGTTGCCAACCCCACAGCAGAAACACAGATGGAGAAAGAAAACCAAGACATCAGCGCCGAGGAGCCCAAATCTCCCGCTTCCACACTCAGTCAGCGGGAATCCAAGGTAAAAAGCAAATGGGTATTTGGCGAACACAACTGGAAAGAGATGATATCGAGGTCTGTCTGACCCGACGTCCCTCACACAGCGCGGTCTGTGGAGCAGACTCCCGCCGCCTGGTCGCCGGTGGCTCTGCCAATCGCACGGATTGGTCTCCACCGCTGCTTTTGGGGGGAAAAGTGTTCATTTCAAGCTCTTCACTGCCTGGTGAGAGGCACTCACACTCACTCACTCACTCACTCACACACTCACTCACTCACACTCACACTCACTCACTCACTCACTCACATTCACTCACACACACACACACTCACACACTCACATTCACTCACACACTCACACACTCACATTCACTCACACACACACACACTCACACACTCACTCACAGACACACACACACACTCACTCACACACAGACACACACACACACTCACACACAGACACACACACACACACACACACTCACACACAGACACACTCACTCACACACAGACACACTCACACACACAGACTCACTCTCTCACACACACAGACACACTCACACACACAGACACCCACACAGACACTCACACACACAGACACACTCACACACACACAGACACTCACACAGACACACACACACAGACACACACACACTTTCACACACACGCAGACACACACACAGACACACACTTTCACACACACACTGACACACACACACTCACACACACACACAGACACACACACACACAGACACTCACACACACACAGACACAGATACTCAAACACAGACACACACTCACACACACACACACACAGACACACTCACAGACAGACACTCACACACAGAGACACCCACACAGACACACACACACACACAGACACTCACACACACACACTCACACACCACACAGACACTCACACACACACACTCACACACACACACACACACACTCACACACACACAGACACACTCACAGACAGACACTCACACACACAGACACTCACAGACACACACAGACACGGGATGGGGAGACGGGTGTAGGGTTTTGCTATCTATCTCAAATGCAGTAGTAACCAATATATAAGATGTGTGACGGTTTGGTGTTGTTCTAACGATGAATGAATCCATCGGTTGTTGCGTCTCACAGGAGTGGAAACGATCAGAAACGTCGACAGGACCTGCGCTGAACCCCCGTCTGAAGAAACGTCGCTTTTTTTTTTCATCTTTCACGCTGCAGTTTAGATGTGTGAACAGTTGTAGCTTTTGCAAATTAATTTGTTCAGAAACTCGAGCATGAAAATGTTTGGCTCATCAGCAATTGTTGGTAACACGATCTGCATCAGGACTGGGGGTGGGGAGAGGAGGAGAGGTTTCTAAACAAATTCAGATCCCATTCGCATTGGAACATTTCAGTGTTTTATTCGATTTAGTGATAGCAGTACCCAATTATATGTGTGTGTATGTGTCTGTCTGTGTGTTATTGCATGTGACCATTCAGTCCCACAATGAAGATGTAAATATAATGCTCAGAAACAAATCATGTTTAAGAATAAGGGTTCTGATTAATCAGTTATATATGTATTGTAATATACATTGTTGTTGTGGTTTAAAGTTCTGAACAAGTTCCTGAAAAAAAACCCAGGAATATCTTGCTTCAAAAATTCAGTTCATGCTCATTCTTTTGATCATTGGGGTAAGTTTATATTTGCAGCTGTTGCTATCTATGCCCCAGAATTAACTTTTATTTTTTTAAAAAAAAATATATATATAAATGCCTGTTTGGAATGAAACCTGAACGTTTGTTTTAATGGGTGAGTTTGTAGGTGTGTCAGTATTGTCCGTTTTGCACATGGTACATTTGTTCACAAATCATAATATTTCATTCCTGTCACAAAATATACAGACTCCCACAAAATATAGTCAATTCACTTTACAGTATATTGTGTGAAGAGCTTTGAGACGTCTTGAAGACGTGATAAGGTGCTGTATCAAAGGCAAGGATTATTTTTATATTATTTATCACTTTGCCAGAAGTCAATCCCTCTTTAAGAGTATTCAAATTAATATGAGTTATTATGGCTTTAAATATCCAGATTTATAGTAGACTTATTTATGTTATTATTACTTCTTAGTTCATAAAGAGGCAGTGGTGATGTATAATTGTTTGCAACAGAAAAGCTTTCATTTAGATGTAACTATTATTTATGAAGATGTGGACAAGTGTAGACTTCAGCTTCAGGCGTCTACATACTTCACAGAATCATCATGTCTCCAAAACCCTCACTGTGCTGAATGGTTACATCTCACAGGAAGTGCCAACAATTCAGAATTGAATACCATTATTTGACCATAAGCCATTTATGAAAACATCCATTGATCAGTTCATGATTTTAAACATATTCTTGATTGCTGGAACATTCATCACTATGTAATAACTTGTGAGCGGATAGAAAATGTAATCCTAAACTATTTTCTGTTTGCTGTATTAATTCCTTACAGCTCAGTTATTTATAACTAAGCAGACATTTTTCTCTTTACACATGTTACTTTACACATTTTACCATGTTTAAAGTACAAATTGCACACATTAGGTTTCCGCCTAATCTGTGTGGCACACTTTTTTTATTTTAGCAGTCGATCAAAACATACCAGATTAAAAATATAACAATATGAATTAATTTCCACATCAGAAAAATCTCAATTATAATTATAAGCATGCATGAAATGGGCAACAGAAAGCTGCATGTTCATGATACACAAACACACTGTTCCTCTCCTATTTCTTATCTATGTGATTCTCCTTGGTAGCTTCATCCCCAGATATTGAGTCACTTTCCACATGTATGCCAGTGACACTCAGCTTTACCACCCTCCATTCTCAGACTGTTGTTGTTGTGATTGATTAACTACCCACCTGTCATCCTGGAATGCGTCTTCACCTCCTTCAACTGAACGATAACAAAACTGAAGCATCTGATTTGCCCTTTGCTAGTGCCTTCTCCCTTCTGGCTCTGACTCACTTATTCTCCCTAGCTGCTCCCATTGAGCTAACTGAGCCCTGTATACTTGTATAATCTGTGTGTTTTGTCCCATCCTCAACCTTCACTTTTGTTTCAAATCTGGTCTTTGACCAACATCACTTGCTTGTAGCATTGCCCCTGGAGTCCCTCTCTCACTCCTTCGACATCTGAAAATTCTATTCATGCCTCGTTCATCTCAAGTCTGTTCATTTCTGAGCTAGATATAGTATTGCTTATAATTTTTATGGTCTAAGGTAATTGTTAGATTTGTGTTGAGAAATGTATAGTTAGATTTTTTCTAAAGTTTATGTATTTTTGTTAAGGTTTTCTTTGTGCAGTAAACAAAATTATCTTTGTTGCACCAAATTTGTACCAATTAGGTCAATACATCACCATTTGTCTGAACAAACAAAATCACATGTGGAGAGTCAGATAAGTTTAACAAATCTGTTCCTTATGCAACTGTTCCCGTTCTCGCAGTCCTGAAGCAAACAAGAAATTTCCATTAAGTAATTCATGCAGTATCATTTCGCAAGAAGCTCTGTTTATGGAAAAGGTCAATTATTATTCAAATGCAAACATTCTGAGCTTCTCTTGTTTAGTAACCTGGGGGGTGATGTTACTCAGATCATCATTTTACGATCGTGTGTGCATGAAAGTTAATGCCAAGTTAATGCCACTAGTCAGGACACTTAAAATAAGCATGCTTCTCACACCCTGAGTTAATAGCTCATGAGTTAAACATATTCAAACATGCATAGGACCCCTTAACTATGTAATTTATCACTAATTGAAAGATGATTCTGTCGTCCTTCAAAGTGGTTAGTACAATGCAATTTACATTTATATAACAACTTTCACATTAGGAGGGTGTCTATATTTAGTAGTATAGCTATGGACATTAATGTGTGTTTGAACATGGTTATCCATGGCTATAAGCCAAAACCACACTTTAGACCGCACTGTATAAGTAAGTGAATGGTACAAATATTCCTATGACCATTAATTCAGTTGTGGACTGCAAAACTCTGCCAACATTATCTCTGAGGTCTAAGATTGGGGAGCCTGTTTTTTTCTGATTAGCCAGTAATACTGGAGGAATTAATATACTGGCACAGAGGTATATTTGCCTTACCTCAGTCCGTAAGTTTGGCAGGAGTTGACTCCCCCCTAGCTGTGGCCAATATCTGAGAGTCAGAATCCACCCCCAAAATCAAGAGAGAAGTTGAGTAACGTAAAAAGAGGTGCCAAGGTGATTTTTTAAATATCAGCAACAAACTTAGCAGAGGTTCCAACACAAATAACTCATGCAACCAATCTGAGAAACATCTATTTTCCCTTACTCCTGACTTGTATCCTTCAGCAATGCCTTTATCCAAGCTGCCAATTTTTGCAGGATGGCAGATCTTAATGACTCTCTGCCTTGCTCAGCTTTCTCGAGTGGTGTTCCTTCACACCTTCAGGTTGCTTGTTCTATCTGAATATATCTTCTGCCCAAAGGCCAGAATCTGGAACAAGGAATATAATACATGATTCATGCGTTTGATACAGTGCCTCATCATATTGTCGAGAAATCTCCCAAGTGCTTAATAGGATATACTGTAAAATATAGTGACTTATTTTTGTAGGTGAACGTGGCCGACAATTTGCACGCAGCAGGAGTGAAGTAAATGACCAATTTTTATCTGGGTGATTGTTGGCTAGGACACCTGGAGGAACTCCCTTTTTAGAATAGTGCCATGGGATCTTTAATGTCAGCTGAACAGGCAGACGGCACCTCGCTTTACCATCTTGTCAGCACCTTCAACAATGCAACATACTCCAGTACTGCATTGAAGTGTCAATTTAGACTGTAAGACTTCAAAAATCCCGATGTGCGGTTTGAACCCACAACCTTCTGTCTCAAAGGTGAGAGTGCTAGTAACTGAGCCTGGCTGACCCAATGCACTCAGGCTCCTACTCCACCTTCTCCTTCACATGTAACCATGTCCAAACCTGTGGCA